CAATGTCTGCATCCGAGCTGGAGTTGAACTATTCAGCGACGAAGGTACTCGGTTTGCATTGGGATCCGTTGCATGACGAGCTCTTCTTCACGGTACGGGGGTTCGACGAGTCAGCGATGCCTACCAAACGGACAGTGCTTAGCGACGTAGCTAGATTGTATGATCCGACTGGCTTATTGGCACCGGTTGTCATTGTGGCAAAACTCTTTATCCAGGATCTGTGGAAGGCGGGATTGCAGTGGGATTCGGCACTGCCACCGGACCTGCTCAATGCTTGGTTAATATTCCGCAACGGGTTAGCGGACATTTCACGACTTCGGATTCCACGTTGGCTAGGCATGCGTGCCGATTCGATGGTGAGGCTCCATGGTTTCTGTGATGCTAGTCGTAAGGCATATGCAGCTGCGGTGTATGTCCAGACGGTGGATCACAATGGTAATTCAGGTGCAGCTCTGGTTGCTGCAAAGACGAAGGTCGCTCCGGTCAAGGAAGCGACCATACCACGCCTTGAGTTATGTGGTGCCCACCTACTTACAATCACTATGAACCACGTCCGCCAGGCTCTTGATCTACAAGATGTCCCTTGCATATATTGGTGCGATTCAACTGTTGTATTATGCTGGATCCGCAAGGCACCTTCAGCTTTCAAACAGTACGTTTCGAATCGAGTCGCTTTCATCCAGGCCAATTCGGATGTAAATTCCTGGAACCACATCCGATCGGAGCTTAATCCGGCGGATTGCGCAAGCAGGGGCTTGTCGCCATCTGGTCTAGAAAGTCATCGACTTTGGTGGGCCGGACCGACATGCATCCATCAACACACAACCGTAGGATCGGAACCAGTTACGATGACGGAGGAAGATCAGCACATTTTTAGATCCGAATCTCGCCCTTTGTATACGCTAGTATCTCGTGTTGACTGCCAGTGGCTCATGACATCAGGTGACGGTAATCGTGTACCTCTCATAGAGAGGTTTAGCACGTTGGGGCGTCTTCTCAACACCACGGCGCGTCTTAGACGCATACTACCGTTATTTCGAGGCAACAGAGGGGTTGTGGTCTCCGCCGAAGAGCAGAACTGGGCGCTGGTCTTACACATTCGTCAGGCACAAGGTAATACTTTCAAACAGGAAATTAAAGCACTTGTATCTAATTCCAGAATTGAGGGTCGCAGTCCACTTCGACCCCTAAACCCGTTTCTGGATGAAAATGGAATATTGAGGGTTGGCGGCCGACTAACCAACGCTGACATGAGTAACGATCAGCGACACCAAAACATAGTCCCACGCGGCACTCTAGCAGATTTGATGGTCGCAGATGCACATCAGCGCTGCCTTCATGGTGGCATACAGCAGATGCTCCAGTTTCTCCGACAACGTTTTTGGCTCATATGTGCGCGGGCCCAGGTAAAATCTTACATCTGGAGGTGCACCGTATGTCGAAGACATCTGCAAATTATGCAGCGTCAACAGATGGCGTCGTTACCAAAGGAACGTGTCCTTGTTGCACCACCATTTTACCGCAGTGGCTTGGATTACTGCGGCCCCTTCCATGTTCGAGTTGGCAGCAAGCGCTCAGCAGTTACGACAAAAACCTATGCAGCCATTTTCGTTTGTATGGCATCGCGTGCAGTTCATATTGAGCTGGCAGAAGACTTGAGTACACAAGCATTTATAAACGTGTACGACCGCTTTGTGAGTCGACGAGGCATCTGCGCTACCTTATACAGCGATAATGGTACTCAGTTTATTGGTGCGAATCGACAAATGCAGGAGGATTTACAGGCATGGGTGAACGTGTTTGCACAACAACACCTGGTGGCTGTAGGAACCCACTGGAAGTTTATTACACCATCGTCACCTCATCACGGTGGCCTTTGGGAAGCAGCGGTGCGTTCTGCCAAAAAGCATCTATTGCGAGTCATGGGTCGTCAAACAATGCGCTTCCCCGAGCTCTACACTCTTTTGACGCGTATAGAAGCCTGCCTCAACTCACGGCCATTGCTGGCTTTATACGATGACCCAGAAGGTTANAAGCATCTATTGCGAGTCATGGGTCGTCAAACAATGCGCTTCCCCGAGCTCTACACTCTTTTGACGCGTATAGAAGCCTGCCTCAACTCACGGCCATTGCTGGCTTTATACGATGACCCAGAAGGTGGTGTAGCGCTCACTTNGCTCACTCCGGGTGATTTCATTATTGGCCGCCCGTTGAATTGTCGTCCGGAACCTCCATTACCAGAAGTTCCAGAAAATCGGTTGCATTATTGGCAACGTCTTCAACGAATGCTGGAGCACTTTTGGCGTCGCTGGCAAAGCGAATACATAAATACCCTTCAGTCTCGCAGTAAATGGACTAGACCGGAGCCAAACATACAGTGCGACGACGTCGTTCTCATACGGAATGAGAATCTCCCCCCAACATTTTGGCGCATAGGAAGGGTCATTGACGTGCATCCGGGTAGTGATGGTTTGGTTCGCGTGGTCACCATCGAATACAATCCTAACCAGAAAAACTCGAACGGACTTTTTACCAAACACCGATGTCAGCG